GAGAATATAGACTGCAGAAACAACTCTGAAAATACTGAGCAACACTGTCTTTAAAAAATTTTCAAACACCATCATTGAAAGAAGGACACACTGTTTAATAAATAGTGGGGTAAAGCTGGCTTTCCACTTGCCGAATCCTAAAACTAGACCCATGTGTCTCACCACAAAATTAAATAGGTCAAAAATATAGACCTTGAAAGAGAAACATGAAACTAAATCTGTTGCAAGAAGCAGGTTGAACTCTTGAAGATGTAAGTGTAGGCAAAAACTTTATGAACAGAAACCTAATCACACAGAAAATATCACAATAAAATCAGTAATTGTAGTCACATCGTAGTAAAACATGTTTTCACAGGAAAAGAAACCACCAGCAGACAACCCACAGTGGGAAAATTTTTTTACCAGATCTTTCTCAGATAAAGGACTAATATCTAAAATATATAAAGAACTTAATAAAATCAGACCCTTCAAATGTAAAGATGTAATCCAAAAATGGGTATCTGTAGAAGAAACAGCAAATAAATACTTGAAAAAATTGTTCAATAAAACTGTTCATTCAAGAGCTGCAATTGAATACACCGCTGAGATTCAATTTCATTCCACAAAGAATGGAGATTAACAAGAACAGAATGAATAACAACTGCTGACATGGCTGTGGATAAAAAAATAACCCTTGTCTTCTGTTGGTGCAAGTGCAGACTGGTGCAACCACTGAGGAAATCAGTGTGGAGATTTCTCAAAGGATAGGACTGCTTGTTCCATTTTTCCCAACTATTCCCATGATTGGTATCTTCCCCCAAAGAATTAAAGCCATCTCATTTCTGTAATATATGCCCTTCTATGTTTATAGCAGCACAATGTATATCATCTGAATCTTGGAAACAACCCAAATGCCCATCAACTGATGAATGGATACAGAAGATATGCTTTGTTTCAAATACAATACAGCACTACTAAGTCATAAATAAGAGTATGCTTGACCATTTCTAGGTAAATGGATGCACCTTGAGACTATGCTCTTAAGTTAATTGGACACACATGTTCAAATGTTGCATGATTTCTCTGGTGTGCAAAAGTGAAAGTGTAAATGTGGATCAAAATGTATACTCCATACTGTATGAGTTAGGCAAATGGTCAAATGAGATGGGGACATAATGAGAGGGGTGGGAAAAGAAAAAGAAAAAATGGAAGAAAAACACAGAACCAAAGTTTCTGTGATTAACAGCAGTTGAAGAGAGGGACTGGGGAAGGAATGAATCAAACTATATCATATACAGGCACAAATTCTATATGATCAATGTTACCATAATGTGAGGAATGGATTAACCTGTCTGGAGCAGAGGCTCACTGGCAGAGCACTTGCCTACAGAAAGTACTACCTTCTCTCTAAAGCACTGGGGAGGGTGGGGAGGGAATAAAGTAAATCATTTATCAGAGTCACAGCTAAGAAGAAGAAAACCAGTGCTCCAGAGAAGATACATTTAACATTGCTTTCATTGTGTTCACATGATTGCAAGAGACCTTGCTGAAGTTCAAGAGCGATTTATTGCCATGACACATACTGAAAAATTAACCGAGACCACGGGAAAATGAGGAACACATGTTACTGGCCGGATGGGACTTCTTGCTGGTGAGAAGTAGAAGCTTGCTCAGCCTTCAAGAGAACTCCAGGAGCCTTACCTGGAAGGAAACACCATGGAGGACCATTGTGCTGTTCGATCAGATGCCCAGTGGAGCCGCAATCTGACTTCCTTTGCCCACTCCAATTTTCTCATTACCCAGCTCTTTAGCCTGCACATCACCTCTTCGATCACCTCTGCCTGGTAAAGATTCTTTTCATGCTTCTTAGTTCTCAATCCCAAGACAAACCTGATGAGTGCTGCCTGCTCCTCTCTCTAAAGGTAGCTTGCTGCTCAGTGTACACACCCTATGGCCAGGCCCTAGCTGACCTCATCAGCCCGTCCTTGTAATCTTTGGCTCCTCTCATTAGAAATGATGACCCAATAACCAGGACTTAGGTCACCCACACCCCCTATTTGGCCACCTGCCAGTGTCCAGTGGATTCAAACACACATACACAAAAAAAAAACACCCCTTGCACATGTACTTTATTACATCACATCAGCCTGCACTTCATTTATTCATAACTTTTAGAATTATCTGATCCTATTTTATTTCTAGTTCTTCCCCACTAGGGGAAAATAAACCACATCAAGGAGGAATCTTTTTTTTTTCTTTTCTCTTCTTTTAGGTCTCAGGACAAGGGCTTTAGCAACTCCAGGGCATTTAATAAAATTCTGATGAATAGCCAGCTGCACATGGGGTATGTGTGGCTGGCTGTTTTGTGCTCTTCAGAGGATTCTACTCTTCACAGGTGTGGGTTGACTAGTGTCCTGACTTGAATATCCAGTTCAAGTGTCAATACTTAGTGGCAACAATCTTGGGTCATTTGTAGTTCCATCAGGTTCTTCACAGGTGAAGGAGCTGAGACTTAGCAAAAGGACTTGATCACAGCAGGTGGGTGAGCCCAGGAGGTGAAGGTCTCTGCTACTCTCAGGTCCTTGAGCACCACATTTCCAGACCCTTTCTCTCTGCACAGTAAAGAAGGCAAAAGAAAAGTGTGAGGTATCCAACTTTAGGGGGACAACATAAAACAAGAGAGAACAAAAAGTAAACATCATTTCCCCTTCCTGTGAGGGTAAGGATGAAGCTTACTATTCCAGGAGCAGCTCAGGTCAGCCGCACTTAACAAGGTGGGAGATTAAATGTCACAGCAATAGATTCACTCAGTCCTGCTGAGGACAACACCTGTCCTCTACTCAGACCTCTTCAGGGAGCAATGTGCGCACAAGAAGGTTCATCCGCCCGTTTCTCCAGGAATTCCACCAGGGGGCTGTGGCCCTCAGGCCCCAGAGAGGTGATCTCGAAACTGGACACAGGTTCCCCAATTTGAAGCCAGCTGCCCAGGTGTTGTTATCAGGATCCTAAACACCAGGCCATTTTCCCGAAGGCCCTGCCCTCCATGGCCCGCCCCTATCCCGCATTGGGCTATTGCCCGTCAATCATGAGGCCCCGTCCATCCTCCTACTTGCTGCTCCCCTCATTTCTGCCACAGCAGCTTCCACAACCCCGCTCTACTGTCCACCCTGGACTGACCTTCCTCGATCCTGTTCTTCCCTTCCTCAGCTCCTCAACTGTCTTGCGCTTTGCTCACCTTCTTCAGCAGGGCAGTACCACCGACCTGGCTCCCCTACACAAACAAATTCCAGAACAGCAGGCTGAATGGAAACAGCACACTGCCTCAGCATCACCTAGGAGGGGTGCAGTAGAAGTCACCTGACGCCTCACCACTGCGCATGCGCAATTAGAGCTCGCAGACCAGGTGGCTGCTGGGAGGAGGGGCGGGGCATTTTGAGCACAGTGCCCCTGTGATTCAGCGGGGTTATCCCCAAAAATCAGGGCTGTTAATGGCACAGCTGTGAGCATTTAAGCATCTGTAATCCGGATCTCTGATCACCCAGACCTAGTGCGGTCCTCTTGGAACTCTCAGGAGACTGTAAGGGTGTCTGATTCACTCTCTACCCCTTTCTACGTAGGAGGCGTTCAGCAGTTGTTTGACTTGATTAAGATACTAATAAAGAGCGAAGGTTGGTTTTAGCATAATTAGTGCTCTATGTGTTTACCCAATTAGTGGAAAGGGTTACTTGAATGATATTTTACAAACTAAAAACACTGTCCTGTTTTGAAGTTTGTACTGATGTGGACTCCAGCAGCTCGAGGTTTTCTTCCTTTTTTTCTTTTTCTTTCCTGTCTTTTCTGTCTCTGGTCCCAGGTCTGGCACCCTGCATCGTGCTGAGTGGGGAAAAGCCTGTTTGACTCCCTATCTTTGTCTCATTGTCTTACTGAGATGGCCTGATGCCCAGGGTTTATCATGACTTTTGCAGAACCTTCCTGGCTTAAAGGTAAATTTTATTATTATATTTGGTATGGTTAACTAATAGATTTCTCTTGCAGTAGGCATATATAAGCATTCTTGTTTTCAAAGAAAAACATGTGAGGAAAACAAAATAGGTTCTCATGACAATGTATGGGTCACTATGTATGGTAACCGGGACAATGCCTGGTATCAGACATCACGATAAAATAGAGTTCATGTTTCCTACAAGGCTCATGCTGAATGGGAATATTATTTAAGGTATTGAAAGTGACACGCAGCCTCCATAATTGGAAGTAGTAGAAGAACCTGATTCAGTTTCATCCCACATAAAGGGGCCGTGTGTTTCAACCAGCAGCAGGCTGCCTTTTCCCTTTCTTCCTCTTTGCTCCTCCTTGCACCCCAAAGGCCTGGGAAAGTTTGCTGCAAGTCCTCCCTGACTATCAAACCCGCATTCTACACTCCAACGTGAGTGTAACCAGACAGCATGGTTTCCTTGACCCACTGATTTATATATAATACGTGTACAACACAAAACCTGGATACATACATACATGATTCATATAACAAAGGATTATTTAAAAAGGTACATGGAGAGATACATAAATTCTATATAGGAAATATGCCTACTACACATTAACAAATTCAGCCCAAAATTAAAATATTCATAGATAATAAATACTCATTGAATACTACACCATCTTAAAGCCAACAATATTTACTATGCTATATGAACAGAAATTTCTGGAAAATTAAAGACTAATATGAGATAAATTCTTAAATAGTTTAGCAGATTCAGAAATATTGATCTGTAGAATAAAGTTAGTATGTTAAAATTGATAGCAGTGTTGAGAAATTCAAGAGGAAAACAAACAGAGAATAACATAATCAACAGCATAGATAATAACTTTCATTGTGAAATCAAGGGAACAAAGTAGAATAAAAGTCTAATTGAAAACTGTTATAGTTATGAACAATTCATGTGCAAGGCTATTACAGAAATGAATGATAATCCTTTATTTACTGTAGTAAATCCCACACTGCATCAAATATAAGACTGGATAATTTAAGATGTTTTTCCTCCAGAATGTGTTTTACTTTTGAACTCAGAAAGAGAATTTCTCTCTGGTCGTAAAAGAATAATGTAGCACTTGGGCACAAAGATGCAGCCCAGCAGCCCTGCACTCGAGGCCAAGATGGAGAAGACCTCCATGGCCACCATGGCATTCCCCTTGCTGCTGTGGTACACGGGCAGGAATGTGACCCACACACTGCAGAACACCAGCATGCTGAACGTCAGTAACTTGGCTTCATTGAAGGTGTCGGGTAGGTTCCTGGCCAGGAAAGCCACAGTGAAGCTCACCAAGGCCAAGGAGCCCAGGTATCCCAGGACACAGTAGAAGGCAGTGAGGGAGCCCTTGTTGCACAGGGTAATGATGTGGCCATGTTCAGAGTGTGCATCTGTGTCAATGTAGGGTGGATTTGTCCCCATCCAGATACCACAGAGACTGAGTTGGATCAGGAAACAGATGGGGATGATGTAGTTTGGTGCCCCTGACACCAAGAATCGCTTCATCCTCCTGCCTGGAGCAGTAGCCTTAAAGGCCAGCAGCACAGTAATGGTTTTTGCCAAACAGTGGAAACAACCACAGTGAACACGACTCCAAATGTGGTCTGCTGCAGGATGCGGGTGGCTGTGTTGGGACGGCCAATGAAGAGCAAGGAACAGAGGAAACAGCAGGTGAGAGAGATGAGTAGGGTGTAACTCAGGGCCTGGTTGTTAGCCTTGACAATGGGAGTTTCTCGGTGCTTCACAAATAGGCCAAGCACAGAAGCTGTGAGGACAGTAAGACTCAGGGCAGTGCCAGCAAGAACCTTCCCCAGGGGGTCTTTGTAAGCTAGAAAAGTCTCAGCTTTTTGCAGGCACTGGTTTCTCTGAGTGTTGGCATACTGAGCATCTGTACACTTCACACACTGATCCATATCTAAAAAAAAATTTAAATTATAACTTGCCTACCTGTGTTTGCTTATTTATCCATTCACAAACCCATCACCAGAAACTCACTGGACTTGTACTAAATTGTCGATTTTTAATTTTTTTGTTTCTCTTTGTTTTTCAGTCTGCTGGAATAACTCAGATACCTTCCACTGAGATGTACTCCTAACTCTTTTAAATTTTATTTTGAGAAAGGATATCCCTAAGCCACTATATTGAAAAGGCTGTGTTCCAACACGATCTTCTTTCCTCAGCCTTTCAGAGCCCTGGATCCCAGGCATGCATCACCACACCTTACTTTTCTCTTTCTTTCTAGACATAAAATAAAAGAATTTTGTATACAGAATAACTCCTACATTATACTGATTATTTGTCATTTTTTCTTCTTTTAAATCTGGCATATCCATAAAAACAATCTAAATTTACAAAAATGATCTACCTTGATTACTTACTTCTCTTACTTTTGTTAGATTTAAATCAAATCTTTATGAATGTTAACAAAGCCAACATAATTTTCTAAGTCACAGTGAAATACATTTGAGAAAGCATACTGAACGAGTAGTAGCTCCATTCTTTAGCCTTCCACCTATGAACATGTTGTATGCAACCAGGTGGTTCATTTTTATTGCCAAGGGTGATTTTTAGTACTTTGATTTTAGTATCTTTAGAAACCATTACAGGATATATCATTATGTATTTAATGTTTTTCAATATTACAAACATCAAATTGCAGAATTTTATTTGTGATTGCCTTATGACTGAGGTAGGGAAACAGGTTTTCAGTCTTTTATATTAGTCTTTATTCCACAGACATGAAATCAAATATCATTTTTATTCACTTACAAGAGTTTTATACTTAAACACTAATATCACTGGAAAATCCAATCATTCATGTTTCTCCCTCTCAAATGTATTTTTTTATTTTGGGGTGCTTTCTTCATTACTTTGATGAACATGTAGTATCATGTCTGGCAGAAGTATGATACAGAGACTTTGCTCCTCTTGCTTTTAAAAGTGGAACACAAATTGTAAAGTGGGCTGTAGGATACCATAGAGATCATTTTTAGTTAGAAGACTTCTCCTACTCCTCCTTCAGGAGGGAACACTCTTCTTGCTTCTTTGTAAATCACAGTGATGTACAGTTTTATCACATTGTCTCCACTTAGCAGAATTGTTTTTCTTTGCCCAGGATCTAGTACATTTAATTATAACTTTATGAGCTGACTTTGCTTATGCTGTATTGTCCCTGGAGTACACAGCTCAACTTGGAACAGAATATGTGACTTTAGTTTAGAAAGGAAAGTGGACTGTGAGCTTCGGCTCTCTATGTGCACTTGTAACTGAGTAATATCAATGAGATCCTTCCTTAAAACAAATGGATTTTCCTCTTCTCTGAAAGAATGTGTTCGGTATTACTATCCTCTTGAATGCTTATAAATTTTACTTCTAATATTACTACTCAACAAAAATTTGTAGTGAAATATTCAACTATGAACACCAATCTAATAACAGACATGGTACTGTCAAATATTAGCATAATGGAGCTTTTAAATTATTTGTTAAAAGAGTTTTGCTAGGTTTCCCTCTGCTCCTATATATTTCAAGGCTTAGATTGATGTGAAATTACTTCTATTTTCATAGTAAAAGTTTTAAACGTATCTGTACCAATGGAAAATAGTCTGTCATATTATTATAGTAGCTTTCAATTTTTCTCTTTGTTCTTCATTAATTGTACTAAGTGTTGCACTTTTTGTTACCAGAGTCATATTTAATTCTGTTCATTTTACCTGCATCATAATTTATTTATCCTTTTTATTTTTGAAAGCAAATATCACTATGCAGTTCAGACTGCCCTGAAGCTCACATTGTAGCCCAGGCTGGTCTTGATGATGATCCGCATGCCTCAGCCTCGCTAGTGTTGGTATTACAGGTGGGGGTCACCGAACCCAGCTCTGTCTTAACTTGTTAAAACTTCTTTCAGACCCATCTTTCATTTTTGTTGTGTTCAGTTTGCTTTACCTTTTTCTCATGTGATAAATATTTCAGCTTTTTATTTGAGTAGCGAACAGTACAGAAGTGTATAATACCTATTTATCTCAGTGTAGTTTTACCTTAAAAATCACAGAATTTTCAATTTTACACAATCTTCAATTTGTGCTTTGATCCCTCCTACATACTATTTATAATGGAGAATTACACATACCAGGAGCTTGTATTAACTGTATTAGTGGGTGTTTTGTTATCTATAGCATACAGTATTTCAAAAATGTACCATGTTCACCTATTTTGGAGAATGTATGTTCAAAATAATTACGTGATATAATACATAATTCTTCTTGATGTATTTCAGAAAGCATTTGAAATCATACTGAATATGTACTGAAATCAAAATTTACATCAGCCACAACCAAATTAGAAATTATACAGTATGAAGATAATTCCACCATGTAACTACCATTAGCATTTGATTTCTATAAATGTTCAAGCATAGGGTTCAATCCTCATTCTCATTTTATCTTTTTTAAAAATAAAACCGTAGCAATTCCTTTCAGGATAGTTGAATATTACATGAATGGAGAATGTGTTCTTATGACCACTTCTATTAATCCAAACAATGATTTATGCCACTTCCTTTTATTCGGTTATAATACTAAGCTATCACCTCTGTGAAAATAAACAGGATGACCTGCACAAATGTGGATATTATCAATTGCTAACCCTTGTACTCTCCGTGCATATCATACTTGCAGTTCTATGGTACAGAATCTAATTTATTCCATGCGCTGTCTTCCACGCATGCATTATAGGAGAATTGGGATTAAAATGCAGGAATTGTACTGTGCTGTGTTACATGCATGTGGTATATAAAACAAAAATCCAGCTGTATCCAATCAAACTCAGTCTCTCCAAGCACAATCTCTGTGTGATAATAGTGTCAGCGTCTGGAGAATAAAGCATGCCTTACCTTGTCTTGACTGTAGTCTTTCTTTGGTTGCAACAATTGTAAAGAATTTTTGTTAACCTCACTACCTATTAAACTTCATGATGGAAATGGAACTTAGAAGCTGTAGGATAGGAAAAAGGGCTAAACTTGAGGAAACAATACTTTTAAGGGGACTTGAAAAATAAATCAATGTAAGCATATGTGGTGGTGCATAAATGTGATCCTAGAGAATTAATGGGCTGAGACAATTTTATTGTAGTTCTGAGGCTTTTTAGGCAAACTGGTGATATTCTGTTTCAAAGTAAAAAAATAAGAGTGTCTGGATGCATAGATCATTGACAGAGTTTTTCTTGGTTCAATTCGTAGCACTTAAAAAAGAAAACATAAATAAGAAGGGAATAAAAATAAATGGAATTTGAGTGCATTTCAAGGGGGAAATAAACTTTCCAACCAGGCAGTAACACTCAGTATAACATATGTTTTGATAATTAAAGGAATACTGTTGCCATCTGCGTCATCTACAAGACCTTCTCCACTTCCTGGATGGATGGAATGAACATAACATAGAGTGAGAATGTGTCCCCAGGACACGCTCCTACCTGTGCCATTGGTGATCTCGTTCTCTGCACAAGGGGTGCAATGGAAACAGCAGGCAGCCTTTCCCTCCAGAGTGCGTTTTCTAAATCCAGGATTGCAACTTTCACTGCACACTGAGTGGGGCGTCTAAGGAAAAAAATATATGGTGGTAACTACTTAGAGCTGTACTTACTTCTTGAGAGCTAGAGGGATAATCTTAATTTGTATGCATGCACAAACAAAACTAAGTAGTTGTATTCCAAATTTATTTCACAGTATGATGTATATACTTAAAAATATAAGTAGGTGAGTGCATTTCTTTCTCAATCATATTACACCTTATAATTCTTTATTTTCAAATTGAACACTTAGTTATTTAATTTCCACATGTGATCATTGCATGAGCAAAATTGAGGGCCAAAAACCTAAGATGGTGTTTTGCTTACTTGTGGTTAGCAAGTGCTGTGATTAGGAGCAACACACCTTTGTAACTCCTGTGGCCCACTTTATCATATCCTCAGACAAAGTCAGTTTTTGGCCATCAGGAGCATGTGAAGAAAATGTTCCTAGTTTACCCTTCATTCTAAGGCCTTCTCGAAAATTCCAAAAATTGAGAATGTCATAGTCTGAATCCACTTTCCTTCTACAATCCAAGTTCACCTGGTCTCCAGCAGGATTGTTAAATTGGATGTACTTCAGAAAGGAATGCAGCTAAAAGAGAAACACCATCCTATGTGAACAGGGCTGCAGGATAAAGACGGAAAACTTGGACAGGGTGGTTGCTAAGCATATTCAACCCCATTTATCTCAAGGAACTTTAACGCTGGTATCTAATAAATCAGAACACATGATGTCTAAAGACTAAAATATCACCATCTTCCAGAAAAATCAGTCTCAAGAAAAATATATTCTATGCAAAGCTATTTAAATATGGTATGCATTTGAGTTAGGACAAACCATCAACCATGGAATCAAAGCATCTAAACCCAAGCTTGCATTGTCTATCTGACAATTTCCATGGCATCTACCTGCAGAACAAGCTCAACATCTGCAGAGTTTGCAGAATCAAATGAAGATGAGCTCTGTATACTGTTGGTTTTAATGCCATTTGGATTTGTAAGTGAAGACAGGTATTCCTGTTCACTTTTCAGATAAACATAGAACATGCTTTTGTGGGTAAGGTGTTGACCTCCAATATGCAAAAGGAAGGAGCTGGCCTGCTGTCACCAACTCATCAGTGCATCCTTGATTTAGGATCATTTCAACTCAGATCAAGAATCACATTTTCACAAAAAGTGAGATACACATTGTCTAGTGTTTTGGAGAAATGGATCCAAGAATCTTGAATGAAACACAAAGGACAACTTGAGAGAGGAACTGTGATGACAACTGTAGAAATTGTTCTAGTATTTTAGGTGAAGCACATAGAGTTACTTGAGAGAGGCACCTTGATAACACTCCCTGCCATCCAAGGGAAGACGCATTACCTGCCAGGGGGAAAACATCATCACTTGTCTATCACTCAGTGGTGGCCTTTGCAGTTCTTCATAAAGCATCGTATGGATAGCATGGGCTACAGAGTACACAGCATTGTATATATTAAAGCTCCGATCACTGATGTCTGTGTTGAAACGATTTGGAGGCAACCAAGCCATAGAGGCATTGGGTGTACAGTTATTCAAGGCACAGTCAGATGCAGAAAGTAAGCAGTCAAAATTATTGTACCAAAACATAACTAGGTAAGTGTCATTTGGGTATTTGAAAGGGGTAGCTTCCTGGACAAAAGTTTTAAAACCTGAAATCTCTCCGTGATGGTTTGAAAAAACAAGATTCCCATGGAATGAATCCAGTATAAAATCTCACCCAGCCAGGTCAGCATGCCATTGGGAGTTTGTCACCCAGACTTTGCATGTCACTAAGTTTTGCACAATGTAGTAATTTACCTCATTTGAACTATCAGTGTTGTAGTAAATAACCACCACATTGGCAGATGATGTATCTGTGGTGAAGATTTCATGTATCTTTACTGCTGAGACATAAGACACAACCACACTTGAAACCATTTTCACAAAGGCTGCACAGACTCTGTTCCTGTCCATCTCAGCTCTTACATCTGAGAGAAACTGAAGACCCTTCTGGCCTTCTGTGATGAGCAGGCCAACCCAGGTCCAGCAGAAATGAAGCATCAAGGACACCATGGCAAGGGCCAAATATGTGTCCTTTGAAGCCACTTGATAGAGTGAAGGATACTGGCCAGTGTCCATCAGTGTAGGATCAAATGAGCCGAAAGTTACCTAAAAGAGAAAGAAATCTGGGTAGTACACTGAAGTGTTGATGGAAAGCATAATACTTGTCCAAAGTATATTGAATGACATCTCTCCATTGTAGGAAGTGCACATTCTTCCCATCCTTCTACACGTTTCCCTCAGATTTTTTAACAAGGTGAATGAATGTATTCAGATATCTAGAAAACATACTTCTTTCTTCATTCCCTTCCTCTTTGATAAAAAAGTGTGTAACCCACTAAGTCTCTTTTTATGGACTCTGGTGCATTACACACTTTGAAAGAGCCTCAATCTTGCTTCATTTTTCACCCTCTATGTCCCAGGTAGGTGGAGCATCCTAGATAATCTTCAATCAATTCTGTTACCCCAACTCTTACCTGTGGAATTCTGTAGAGCTCCAGCAGTGGTCCAATTTGAGTTGAGGTTCCCCATGGCATTACTGTCAGGACTGCTGCACATTTGCTTTCTCTCCCATAAGTGTAATTAGGGATCTCATGTTGTCCTGTGAGCAAAATGAACGAATTCTCTAGTATCCTCCAATGGTTGTAAATTGAATTATGGACCTCGTAACCCAGAGTAATGTTAGGCAAAAGATAAGGATTGCTGTTGATCTCTTCAATGGCAAAAATGAAGGCCAGGTAGTTCTGGTAGTTGTTGGGTGTTTGCCTGCACAGAGAGCACAGAGGTCCTCAGGGAAAAGACAAAATCAATCGTTATCTTCCCATGCAATCCCATGCCATTTATGACTTGAATGTTTGTGTTCTCTCATTGCACTCATATAATAAGATTCTAAGTGTGTACATGATAATGCTAGAATCTTGGTTTATAGAAGGTAAATGAAAAGAAATGCATGACTGGCTGAGTTGCTCATGAAGGACCTTAGTGGTCTTAAAAGATTCCTGGAAAAGTTGCTTAATCACTGTGATATTTACGGCAAAGTTATAATCTAGAGTGTGCGGAGAGATTCCTGCTACCCTGCGCCTGCGGGACCAGTCCCAGCCCAGGCGCAGAGTGGGCCGGACCCTCTCC